TTATTCTGTGTAAACCTGATTTTAAAAGATCTAAAATGTTCCGGATAAATTTTCTGTATTTCTCCCATTATTTCCTCTGTTGTAAATATTCCATTTATTACTGATGGATTTAGATATTTTTTAGTAATTTTATAAGAGTATTTTTTTGAAGGTCCGGTTGAGTGATAATGTGACGATGAAATGTGGGGAATGGAATTGTGACTTTATAGTCAGGGGGATTTTCTTTATGAATAAATATTTGATTTTTGAATGCATTTATGGGTGCTTCTACATTGTAAATAAGATTGTGGCCTGAACTCTGAGCGCTATGTTGTGTTATGGTTAGTAAATTAATTTCATTGGTTTTTGGGATTCTAGATAAAGCATCAGCAACTATGTTTTCTTTTCCGGGTTTGTAAAGTAATTCTTTATTGTATTCGTCAAGGTATGATTTCCATCTCTTTATTGCGATTCCTCCTTTCCAGTTACAATCATGTGTAAGTGGTTCGTGATCGGTATAAATTTTGACTTTAGTGCCACCGTAAAGGTATCCTCTAAGCGATTTTACTGCCCAAGAGATGGCTAACATTTCTTTTTTAGCTGTTTCGTAATTTTCTTCTGTTTGTGATAAGGTTCTGGATATGAAAGCTATTGGTCTGTTTTTTTGTGAAAGTACTGCTCCTATTGCGTGGTCGGAAGCGTCTGTAGTTAGTACGAATTCCTCATTAAAGTTTGGGTATTGTAGTATTACGTACTGCTCCTATTGCGTGGTCGGAAGCGTCTGTAGTTAGTACGAATTCCTCATTAAAGTTTGGGTATTGTAGTATTACGTCCTTTGATATTAGGGTGCTTTTTAGTTTATTAAAAGCTTGCACAGCTTCGTCGTTGAGGTGGATGGTTTTCTTTGATGAAGTTTTTTTTGATATGCGCCCGTCCTCGCCTCTAAGTAAAGTCGTGAGGGGTTTTGCTAGCGTAGCGTAACCCATATAAATACAATTATATCGTCGATATAAATATAACAGATTTTACCTATGTGTTCCCTAAGTGCGTTATTTAACCCAAATGGAAGTCTTGTGAACTCATATTTTCCGTTGTTCACGGAAAAGGCAGTTTTTTCCATATCACACTCTTTTAAAGGAATTTGATGGAACCCGCTCTTGAGGTCTAGCACAGAAAACATTTTATTATTTCCTAGTTGTGCCAAAACTCCATTAATATCGGGTATGGGGTATCTGTCTGCTATTGTTACACTATTTAATTTCCTGTAATCTATTACCATTCTGTATTTTTGTATGTTGGTACTATCTAATTTTTTTGGGACTATCCAGACTGGTGAGTTATAAGGTGATCTTGAGGGTCTTATTATATTGTTTTCTAAAAGTTCTTGTACTTGCCGGTCTATTTCGTCTTTAAGTGCCATGGGATATTGGTAAAATTTTGAATAAACTGGAGTGTCAGTATTTGTACGAATTTTGGCTTTTACATTTGTGGTGTAGGTCAGTTTTTCGTCGGGTTCGGCAAAGAGTTTCGGGTATTTTCGGAGAAGTTGGTTAAGTTCTATTTAATGTGTCTTTTCAAGATGTTCTGTCCGAGGAATAATTAGGTTGACTGTTTCTACTTTTTCTTCTTTTATAGTTATGACTCTGCCGGATTTTAATGACATGGTTTTGTTTTTGGTGTCTATTATTGCTCCTAACTCTTTTAAACTGTCGTTTCCCAATATGGCATCAAATGTATTTAATGTTGGTAACAAAAAGAACTTAATTTTCGTATCGGTGTCATTGAATAGGTTTGCTAATTTATGGTGTGTGACTTTGCATTTTCCGCCAACTGATATGGCATCGAATAGGAATATGTTTTTTTCTGGATTTTTAATGAATTTAGGTAGTATATAATTTTTATTTGAGCCGGTATCAATAAGAATTTTTAGTATTTCTCCACTCCTCAATATGCATTCGAAATATGGTAATGAGGAGTTGGTTATTCTAAAAAATAAAGATATGTGTAGTCATATGGGTACCCCTGGTCTGCTTGCTCTATTGTGTCACAATATTCGGAAAGAGTGTCATGATATTCGGTCACTGTTCGAGTGATGGTGATTCTTCTTCTTTTACTTCCGTTGAAGTACCTGTTGCTGACTGAATATTAAAGTTTCTGGATTTTTTTGCTGTCTCGTTAATTGGCATTGGTGGTCTTTTGCCGGCGTCAAATCGTCCTGGTTTGTTCATGTAATTAATCTGTTTAGTTTGTAAAGTCCTGTCTATGTCCATTGGTTCAGGTCGTGGTTGTGGCTTTGCGGCCAAAGGGCGAGGAGGTGGTTGGCTTCCTGAAGGCCGGGTCGTTACAAATGGGACCAGGTTGCCACTGAATGGTTGTTGGTGTGGAGTATAGTGTTGTCTATTTAAATTGGGTTGTGGAAAGAGAGTCTGGAACTGGGCGTTCCCTGTAGGGATTGACCATTGTGGCCATGTTGGTACGGCTGCTTGTATTTGTGGCACGAACCGTGAGGGTACGTCCTTAAAAGACAATTGTTGCCTTCTGTTAGTTGCGTGGTTAGTTCGGAATGCCTGATTCTCAAGCTTTAAGCATAGGTGCAAAGCCGAAGGGAGGTCAGTAGGGGTTCTTTCATACCAAGTAAGCGAGATAAGTCGCCACGAAGTCCGCGTACAAAAGTATCTAAGGCTTTGTCTCTATACATTTTGGTCATTAGTTGTTCTGCTTCAGGTCCTAATTCCATACATCCAATTTTATTAAGTATCAGGGATAGATGTTTGTAGACCGCCTGATGGAATTCTTCTACAGTCTGATTAGTGCCCTGGCTAATTGTCGTCATTTGGTACTCAAGGGTTCCTAAATCCCGTTTATCTGCGTAATGAAGTGTTAGACATTTCGAGATAGCATTCCAATTTAATGGAATGTTGTAGGATTCCAATGCAGTGTCCGCATTTCCCGTTATTTTGTTACGAATAGTGTGTAGAATACCAAAATATTTAGCCGTTCCTACAGTGTTTTCATAAGTTTTTAGCACTCTATGGACTCCCTTTTTCCATGAACTGAATTCCGCTGGATTTCCCGAAAATTCTCGTAGACATTTTACTATGTCGGGTACCCTGTCTAGACCTTCGAGATTACCTCCATTTTCTGGGGAAATTTCCTGATTTGGGGCATATGCGAAATCAAACCCTGGGTTTTGTGCTTGTCTTAAAAAAACTGGTAATTGCTCTGCAAGAATTTGCCTAACGGCTGCCTGTAATTCTTCTGCTGCCATGTTATTCCTGTGTTGTTGTTGTTGAATTTCTAGTCTCTGAAGCTGTTGAACTAAATCGTTTTGGTTTGGATTTATATGTTGTTCTAAAACTACGTTTGGTTCTTCTGGATTATTTGGTCCTGCTGGCTGTTGCTGTTCAATATTGATAATGGGGGTCTTATGAGATTTCGCTGATTGGCCATTAGTTTTTTAAGGAAGGTGAATTTTTATGGGTGTGTCTTACAAATTAAAGTAATATTCATGAATAAAATAATATTAATGTAAATTAAATGGATTATAAAGGTAAAATAGTGGGAGGAAATTTTCAAAACAATTGAATTCTTAATTTGTAGTTCAAACTTTAAATTATTTTTTTAATTTTAATTTTGGTGCAATATTATTTATTTCTAATTTTAATTTTTGAATTTAATTTTTAGATTTGTATTTAAATTTAAATTTTACGTAATTTAATAGCTTTTTAATTGATTTTTAAAAGAATTTAATTTTGATTTAATTTGGTTTCTTAATCACTATTCTCATTTAACTTAATTTTGATGTGGCTACTTCTCCTGATGGTCCGGATTTCTTCCTGTTTGTTGCCTACTGAGGATCCTGCGACGCACACGAATAGAGAATGTCCTGCAGGCTTGCCTGACAGTACTTGTAGTCCACCGATATATCAGCAATTATTTTGCCGACCGGTTGTCGTCCTCAGCTTCAATTTTATTATGAAGGAGTTCCTCTGAGTATGACCTGTGTTGGGCCAGCGGAGTTGCACTTCGTAATTTTCCGCACGGATCGAACTTAATCAGATGTCCTCGCGTTGCACTTTTAAGGATATGTCAACGGAGTTGCACGGATTTTATTTAGCACTGATGAACTTAATCGGATTTACTCGCGCTGGTCCCTGTTCGGGCGCCAGTTAATTTCCAAATAATTAAAACTTCAAATTTAACAATTCGGATGTCTTATTTATTCGAGATTCAGATCGGAACTACTCTACTTTACTTATCGATCCCTAATTTATAGCTGTGGGTGGCGGCGGCGCTGGCAGCGGCGTTGGTAGCGTTGACAAAGTTGTTCGCTGGCAGCGACGTTGGTAGCGTTGACAAAATTGCTTAGTTGCAGAATCTGCGGGGTCTGCAGAATTTGGGTCTGACCGGATGCTCGTGTTTATGTTATTGAACTTTATGTTATTGAACTTTAGGCTGGGTCTTATTGTGTTGCAACTTTTGTGCTCAACAATGTTGCAATATTTTCGGAGAAAAATATGAGGAAATATTGCTGTTGTTAACTTATATATAAATATTATAGGGTCGAAAACGCTTCCTTCTACCTGTTACATACTTTTCAACGAATCTATATACGAATCTTACTCTACGAGTAACGGGTATAAATATAATGCAAGATTATCTTTCGAATAAAAAAGTTCATGTCAATAGAATAATCCATCGTTGTTTTATTGAAATTTAAAGTTTTATACCTTAGAAAAACACCCTTTACAAAATGCTTCGAAGAAACGACGCAATAGAATACATTATTAGATTTAGAACCAAATATGAAGACTATTTTCTTAGTTAATAAGGTTCTAATACAATATTTCCTTATTAACCGTATGATTAAGATAGAGTTAATCTTCATGTCTAGAATAAGAAGGTTTCTTAAACTATGAATGCAGCTTTCGGAGTCCTTGCATACCTTCTATTATTTACTTTTTATTATTTATTTGTAATTCAATGATTTTTTATTAACTTAAGCATTGCTTTCATTACAGTGTTAGAAGTGTTATGTACAAATATTTGGAAAAGGAAGGCGAATTAAATTTTCATAAAATTTTTAATGAAGTTTTGGGTATGTATTAAACAACTTAACTTCTTAACTTAACTCATTTAATTAAATTAAATATTAAATTCACTTCTTTTAGGGTATTTGCTGTTTAAAGACTTTTGTGAAAACGATTCCGATGAACCTATACAACAACTTAAGTTTTTTGAACAGGTATGTTATATAATATTTATAATTTATAAAAAATTTAATTTTATTTATTGTTTTCAGATAAAATTATTTGAAAAAACCGAATGTTATGATGAGAGAAAAAAATTGGCTAGGGAAGTTTATGATAATTTTATAATGGAGGAAATGCTGTCACACACTTATGCAAGTACCTCAATATAAATGAACTATGAGTTAAAACTACAACTTTTCTTTATAGGAATACTCGAAAAATGCTGTTGCAAGTGTGCAAAAATATTTATTGAAAAATGAAGTTCCGGTTGACTTATTTGAAGTAAGCTCTTTTATTATAAAATATATTTTTTTTAATCATGCAAACTAAAACAAATTGTTGTGGAAGAATAATTAGTTAGTGTACAGTTCCTCTGTGCCAAAGACAAAGCTGTTTTTTATTAAAACATTAAAAATTGTTATTATCGTGTGCGTTGGACCCGTTACTCGTTGAACAAAAAGGATAGGGATATGTAACAAGAAGAAGAAAGCATATCCTACCCTATAAAGTATATATATTCTTGATCAAGATTAATGGCATTGTAATGCCCTCGAACCACCGAAAACTTGATATTAAGGTTTATGTCTTTGTTTGACCTTTTATAAAATTTCAAGTTTATATCTATCGATTTACCAAGGATTCCATATGCATATATTATATGTGTGCGTTGTCAAGTCATGAGAAACTGCTGACACGATCGCATTTCTGTTGGTTTTTGTGCCGAACTTTATGTATACGTAAACACACTGTAGCACTATGCTGACATTGGTACAGTGACTACTTGATACAATAATATATATTATATATATATATAATATGTACATACTACAAGGCCAAGCCGGAGTTGGCAATCGAGTATGCGGCTTTTTAAAAGGGTATATTAGATTCGTTGGAAAGTGTGTAACAGGTAGAAGGAAGCGTTTCTGACCCTATAAAGTATATATACCTTGAATAACAAATTTTTGGCAATATATATGTATGATGATCTGAATGATGATACTATGAGTGTTTGTTTTATTCCTTCTACTGCTTCTTGCTATTCCTGTAGTCTTACTATGTGTATGAATGTCTTGTACGTCTGTATTGTCTTCGCCGAGCCTAATTTGATTTGTGCCAACAGCATCTCTCCTTTCAGGGGCCGGATCTCAAAGTTCCTTTCCGCGTCCATGGCCCTTGACCATCTATAATTATTTATTCGTTGGGTTTGGTTAATCTTCTGATTTTCTATTTGTGAATCTTGTGTGGCGTGGTTGTCGTTAATGTCAGGCCATTGGATTCTAACACCTTGTGTTTTGAAAATCGAGGGGTAAGCTTATCCCTCCTTCTTTCCTTCCTAAATATCGTATCTCCGGCCTGTACCGGACTTGGTTCTTTTCGCTCCTCAACAATATGCCTTGCTCGTTAGACGTGGCCAGACCCACTAGGGCTTTCTTTACGGTCATAACTTTGGTGTATAAGGCCACCGATTCGAACTGCTTTTGCTTAATATGGGTCAATTCCATAATCAAATACTCAGATCTCTTGTCTTTGAAATATTCTCTTTATCTGGTCCTAATTTAGCTCCGCCTCGTGTAAATCGAGAACTCTATCTGCTGCTCATATAATCTTGATCCTTTCTGCTCTAAGTGCGCTCTAAATGCAGCTTACTCCTTGATTTGACCTATCACCTGCTCTACCGATCCTATAAATCTATCTAATTCTCCTTCGTACTTCGGTATAATTTCTACCAGGTCTATTGCCTTGATAGCTTCTAACACACTTGTAGGCGCCATTCCTCTACTCTATCAAAACAGATCTGGCTTTAAAGCTCGTGAACTGTCTCTGCCTTCTTACTTATCTCGTAATTCTTCTTGTATGTGTTCTTAGGTATATGTCAGGGACTGAGACATTTGCTGCTCTTCTTCTTTCATTTTAAAAACTGAGCAAAACTGAACTTTGCTTCCCTTTCTCCACTTCCTATGGCACGCGCCATGCGGTATTCATCCAATTGTTCATTCCTTTTTGATTTCTCTCTCTCTCTCAGAGACAACCACTCTCTCTCGTTCGCAATCCTCTCTCTCAGCAATTATGCAAGTAAAAGAAATCACAAATAACTTGTTGCTTAGTTTCTTTAGACACGCTTCTTCTTATACATCTCCGACGTACATGTACAAAGTGCTTGTGTGGTGAAATGGAGTTCTGAAATTAATTTAAAATAAGTACTTCTCTCAGGTTGATTTAAAAATAAAAGCATTGGGCACGAACGACGCTTGTCAACAGCCAACCGTTCGATCGAGCTTCTCGATGCAACCTCGAACCGTGGACGCTTTCGACCGTTTTCCGATGTTGGACTACGAGCCATTTGTTGCAATTGAACCCTCCATTTAGTTTATAAATATGACCACTATTAATTTAAAATTCCAACTTAACTCTTTCCATTATTAAACACGTTCTGTGTGAATATCTTCTGATTAATTTATTTTTACCTTGCTGTTCTTTAACTTCGGACACTATGCACTTGCACTATTCTCCTTTCACATTTCTCTGCCTGCGGTTTGAACAATTTCCTTAATTCTCGCTGATTATAACATTTTGATTGATTTTTATTAATTTTTTTTTATTTATTATTGCTGTATGATTCGTTTTACTTAATTTTTTATTTTATTATTTTCTTAATATTTAATTAAATTTTCCACTCCATTGCACCCACTTCACCCTACTCACTTTTTCATAATAATGATACAGATAATGTTGTATATCCTTGACATCCTTCGTCGTAACTAATGTTAAGTATTCAAATTGGTTCGGGGAGCCTCCCAATAATTAAAAAGTAGCAAGTTGTGGTTTCTTTGACAGTATAGCTCGAACGTATACGTGCAATTATGCTGACCTAGCGGAAGGGAATTGAAGTTGGAGCGGATGAAGATGTGGAGCTCGGATTTGAAGTGGTCCCGGTTTTTGTGTTTGGTTGGTAACGCCGAGGCTTATTGCTGACGCGGTAACTGCTAGATGTTTGGCTGTCGTGGGGGTTTCGGTGGTGGACCGCCTATATTAGTTGCAGAGGCGCCAGCTCGCGCATAAGATTTATCACATCGTATTGTGAAACTAACGGGAGAATCTGCCGCTATTTAAACAGTGAGAAGAGAAAGTCTAATGGAAATTCTGAATTTAATAACATCAGTGCCGCCTTCAAAAGCAATTTGAGGCCTACCAGCTTCCGCGATTTGGTGTATAATACATCTATTGGGCGGACTTCTAAGCCATGTTCAACACGGTTGGACTGTGTTATGGTAAATCGGACACCTAACAGAAATGTAGGAAATGCAGCTACCACAGGCCATCGCAGCACCCTTATTGCTTCATATTCGAAATTAGCATTGTGTACCCTATGTGAGGTCAAGGAGCATTTTTTTACAAAATGCCCACAATTTTAATCGACTCCAACTCAGCGGTATAATAAGGAAAGAAGGGTGCACAGTTATTTAAATTGCCTACGGAAGGAACACAGCTTACGCCAATGCAGGTCTGACAACTGTAGAATCTGCCACAAGTAGCAGCATATGTGATCGAGTTCCATTGCACTTTAGTTTCCGTACCCTTGCCCAAAATGCAACCTGTAGTCTCGCAAAATAATATCGAAATTACCGAAAATGAACTTTAACTTAAAATTCATCCTACGGAATTGCCTACGGAAGGAACACAGCTTACGCCAATGCAGGTCTGACAACTGTAGAATCTGCCACAAGTAGCAGCATATGTGATCGAGTTCCATTGCACTTTAGTTTCCGTACCCTTGCCCAAAATGCCACCTGTAGTCTTGTCGCCAAATAATATCGAAATTACCGAAAATTAACTTTAACTTAAAATTCATCGCTCAACGATCTCTATATCAGGAACCGGCGAATTCTCACTAGCACCGGATAAGTCGGTATGAAGATTTACACAATCCGGCAACGCAGTCAATCACTGATTATCATTTTGACCTTAACGCACCTGAGTGGAAAATAGCTGAAAATGTCGAGCCTCCGACCCTTTCTTCTATAAAAGTCATCGCATTGACTTGCTTATTGGAGCAAGTGAGTTCTTTGAGCTGCTTGGTTTTGGACAAATTCGCTTAGAAAACCCTTTACCCACACTGCATCGAACAAGACATAGCTAGATCTTCTCAAGCTGTCGAAAGATAGGAAGCAGCAGTACACTCGTCTGAACTCTGGCCAATATTCGGCGCTGCTTCCCCAAAACTAGATTCGATATTTTGGGACTCTCATATGAATGTGCGCTTCTTTGGTTCAAGGTGCATAGGGCTTAATGAGCTAGAAATTTAGACCTGAAGTCGCAGTACATAGCCTTTATTTGGCCACATTTCTCTAGAACCCAAAAATGCGGCAGCGCATTAGTATTATCTGCCCCACAATTGTGTGCAAAAATTGAATAGCACAACTACGAAGCTGAGAGATGGTTCAGGGAAGTCCACTTAGGGATATTCTCTGAATGATTCGTTGTACGCAGGACCCTCAATTCAAACAAAAATCATCACTAACTTGGTTTCGATTTTTATACCCGTTACTCATAGAGTAAAAGGGTATACTAGATTCGTTGAAAAGTATGTCCGTCCGTCCGTCCGTCCGTATGAACGCTGAGATCTCAGGAACTACAGCAGATACAAAGTTGAGATTAAGCATGAAGATTCTTGAGGTCCCGGGACAGCGCAAGTTTATTTCAGCACTCTAACGCCCACAAATCACGAAAAACTAAAATCGCTGAAATCTAGGGAACTATTAGAGTTAGAAATCCAGTATGTATAAACTTTGGATGCCAGCGCATCTTTTTGTGATACTATTATCCGGCCACACCTACCCATACGCCCACCAAGCTCAAAATACGGTTTTAGCATTTTCAAAAAACCTTGATATCTCGGTAACTATAAGTTATAGAAAGTTCGGTTAAGCATGTAGGTTTTTATGATGCCCCAAATGCAAATTCATTTTTTCCTATCTTGCCACGGCCACCCTAACGACCACAAAACACGGAAAACAAAAAATGCAAAAATCTCGGGACCTGTAAGAGCTAAAAAGTTAGGCATAATAACGCGTATTAAAGAGATGCCACTGCAACTCGTCACGAGTTTTCATTTCTCCACGCCCACTCTAACGCCCACAAACCGCGAAAAACTGTGGAGTCTATAATATTATTATGAATGCCTTCGTTTGACCTTGTATAACTTATTTCTGTTAATATCTATCAATTTACCAAAGATTTTTCAAATCGGAACATTATTTCGCTATTTATGAAGAAATTTAGAT